CTCTTGAATGAAACCAAAATTCAGTAATTTTCATTTAACAAAACAATCTGCATGTTCACAGTGAACTGTGTTCTGAGAAGAGTGAGTGAGGCATGCCATGGATCTGTGTTAGGCAGCGTTCTAAGTTGTGTGTCTTTATATATATTATTTAGTTTTCACAATAACTCTTTTATTTTTTTTGGAGAGTTTTTTTTTTTTTTTTTTGGGGGTTTTTTTTTTTTTTTTTTTTTTTTTTTTTTGCTACAGGGTGCATGTGCATGCCAGAAAGACAGAGAGACAGAGAGACAGAAAGTGAGAAATCACCCCATCCCCCCGCCCCAGGGAGATGGCCACATGGCAATCCCTTTTCCTCTATTCTTCTCTTGGGATCTTGGGAATGCATGCACATGCACCGGCTTGAGTTTTAAGCCACCAGGTCTGGGACTCGAACTGTGGTCGACTACATGGGAGTCCAGCAACATAGCCATTATGCCAACTGCTGGTCCCACACAATAATTCATTTATTACTTTCCTTTTATAATTGAAGACATTTAGGTAAAGAGGGCTTGCCTTGCCCAAGGTAACATAGCTAGTTAAGTACTAGAGGGGGAATGTAAACCCAGGAATTTTGGCTCTAGGGTGGGGGCTCTCAAGCACTGTGTCACAGGCAGTTGGCCCTCCATATCTATGAGTTCTGCATCCATGAATTTAACCAACTGTGGATCAAAATTATCAAAAAAAAAAAGAAATAATACACATAAACACATAGATGAAGAAAAAGCACTTGATAAAATATAGCATCCCCTCATGATAAAAATTCTCAATAAATTAGGTATTAAAGGAACATACTTCAACACCATACAGGTCATATACAGTAAACCCACAGCTAACAAATCAAAAGCTGCTTTTTTAGGCACTGGAACAAGACAAGGATGTTCGTTCCTTTTCACTAATCTTATTCAACATAATACTGGAAGTCCTAGCCAGGGCAATTAGACAAGAGAAAGAAATAAAGGCATTCAAATGGGAACAGAGGAAGTCAATTTGTTCCTGTTTGCAGACAAAATTATCTTATATAAAGAAAAACCTCAAGATTCCACCAAAAAAAGTTTGTTTGTTTGTTTTTTAGTTTTGATATAGGGTGCATGTGCTCATTGGAGAGAAACAGAAGGGAGAGAGAGTGAGGGAGAAAAAGAAATCACCCCCCCAAGGGGATGGCCATGTTGCAATCCCTTCTCTTTGGATTTTGGGCAAGCTGCTGGGTCTGGGAACTTGAACCATGGAGTTGACCATGTGAGATCCAGCTCCCTTAATCTCGATGCCACTTGCCAGCTCTCCCCAGCAAAAAACTTCTAGAATTGATGAATGAATTCGTTAAAGTTGCAGGGTTCAAAATCAACTTAAAGAAAACAGTAGTGTTTTTAGATGGCTGTGGTGATATAGCAGTAATACAACGCTCTGTAATGCTGAGACCACATGGGAAGGCCCCAGGTGTGTGTCACTATAGGTCTCCCTGTGTACACAGGGCATGTGCATGTGCCTGTAATTGGGATTGGCTGAGGCTTAGGCGGATCATAACCTGAATGAAGATCCTGTTGGGTGGGGGTGCCTCCTCCTGTTTCTCTGACTCATGGAATAAGTTAACTTAAAAAATATATCAATAGCATTTAAAATTTTTTTTTTTTAGTTTTTGCTTTAGGGCATGTGAATTTGCAAGAAAAAGAAGAAAGAACTTATCCCTTCCCAGAGGGATGGCCATACCACAATCCCTTCTACTTCAATCTCCTCTCAGGATTTTGGGCACGTACGCACATGCGCTGGTGTGATTTCCAAGCCACTGGTTATGGGACTTGAACTGTGCAGCAAGCCATGTGGGATCTAGTGCCTTAACCTCCATGCCATATGCTGGCTCAATCAGTAGCAATAAAACGTGATACTCTGCCAAGCTGACCCACATGGGAAGGTTCTAGGTCCACTGTGTATGCATGTGGACTGGGATGGCTAAAGCTGAGGTGGACTGTTATGTCAAGACTGTGTTGGGGGTGCTGTCTCTGTCTCAGTCTCTGGTTCCGGCTCATGGTAGAGACAGATCAAGTATCTCTCTCTCACACACACAACATGCTATTGTCTTACCCTAGTTAGAATGGCTACTATGAAAAAGACAAATAACAAATGCTGGTGAGGATGTAGAGAGAGGGGAACTTACAGAGTCTTGGTAGGAATGTAAATTAATCTGGCCATTATGGAATACAGTATAAAGGTTCTTCAGAGAAACTAAAAATAGAACTACCATAAGATCCAGTGACCCAGGACCAGCAGTTAGAGTAATGGCTATGTCGCTAGACTCCCACATAGTTGACCGCAGTTCGAGTCCTGGACCCAGTGGCTTAAACTCACGCCGGGCGCGTGTGCATGCCCAAGATCCCGAGAGGAGAATGGAGGAGAAGGGATTGCGGCATGGCCATCCCCCCGGGGGTGATTTCTCACTTTCTGTCTCTCTCTCTCTCTCTGTCTGTCTGGGGAGCACATGTGCCC